CACAGGGAAGCAGGGCAATTTGTCAAATAAAATAACAGTTACAAATGGCAGTTTGTAACATATCTCCCCTTTTGGAGGGAGACTAACCAGGCACCTGACCTCCTGTCGGTCAGTGCCTAAGTTAGTCTCGCAGCCCACCCACAAATAACAAGTAGCAAAGTAGCCCCCCCACAATAAACAGTACTGGCCTGTAGGTTCCAGGTTGTAGGATGAAAATGCAGCATCCTCTGCCTTCCTGGTGCAGCTGGGCAAATAGCTGGTGGTACTTGGGGGGCAGAGGCCAGCGGCGCTCTGCCCTGATGCCCGCACTTCTGCTGGGGAGAGGGGGTTGCAGACCAGTCCTGTAACAAGGGGGTCGGTAGGGCAGAGGCCAGCGGCGCTCTGCCCTGATGTCAGCTCTTCCGCTGGGGTAGCCGGCAGAATGTCACGCTCTGTACAAGGGACACAGGGAGGGCAGAGGCCGACTGCACTCTGCCCAGCTGCCAGCTCTTCCGCTGGTATAGCCTGCAGGACATCAGGCTCTGGACAAGGGACAAAGGGAGGGCAGAGGCTGACTGCACTCTGCCCAGCTGCCAGCTCTTCCGCTGGTATAGCCTGCAGGACATCAGGCTCTGGACAAGGGACAAAGGGAGGGCAGAGGCCGACTGCACTCTGCCCAGCTGCCAGCTCTTCCGCTGGGGTGCTGGGAACATAGTCCGGCTCAGTAGCCAGGGGAACATGGGAGTCAGTGGGGGTTAACATCTCCTCTGTTAACCCTGGGGCCAAGTTAGGAGTTAGCTGGGGAGGGGAATTTGTACTTACCCCCTCCTCCTGTTGTCCCTGTGAGGGTAGTTGGGGATCTGGACAGGCTGTCCAGCATCCCTGTAGGTCGGGCACAGAGACCACGGTCCCCTCTGCGCCAGCTGGGAGATTGGTATCTCCCCTTGGTGGGGTAAGCTGCTGCTGGGGAGATAGGGTGCTGTGCTCCTCTCCCTGAAACACAGGCTGCCGCTGGAGAGGGAGACCGCCTGTCTCCACTCCCATAACATTGTCCTGCTGCTGGAGAGAGAGACCAACTGTCTCTGCTCCCTGTAGGACACACTGCTGCTATTGCGGGGGAAGGACGACACCTTCGGCCCCCTGGAATTCGCACTGCCGCTGGGGAGGAAGGACGACACCTTCGGCTCCCTGTAACTTGCACTGCCGCTGGGGAGGAAGGACGACACCTTCGGCTCCCTGGAACTTGCACTGCCGCTGGGGAGGAAGGACGACACCTTCGGCTCCCTGTAACTTGCACTGCCGCTGGAGACTAGGTGTCCATATCCTCAACCTCCACAGTTGTCGCTCAAAGGCCATTGCCGCACTGTTCTCAGCACTCAACTGGCGCATTACTTGGTGGACCACCTCGTTCGAAAGGTCTGGGCCATAGCAGACCAACCGCCTCTTACCTCCTCAATGTAAGCGTCGTCCTCGTAGCGACGTATCCTGTTGAGGTGCTCTTCGCAGGGCTCTATCCATCCCTGCTCCATGCTGCTGTAGTTAGGGACGCTGCACAGTGGCTAGCGTTGCCCTCAATAACCTCTCATACGATACCCGTGTCTCCGAGCTGCTTCTCCTCGCACTAGGACGCCATCCCACCGCTGCCACCAATGTAACGGAGCTCCTTGTACTCCGACTGAGTACCCTCCGTTGACGGATGCTCCTAGCGCTTCCTGAGGACTCCAAGTGCTGCAGCAGACACCACAACCACCGCAGACTCTGCAACCGCCATAACTTGACTGGAGTCTCGCCGTCTTCCTTCCACCCTGGATCAGCTTCTGTCCTCCAGGACTGTGTGGGAAAGAACTCTTCCTTCCACCCTGTACGAACCTCCAGCATCCAGGACTGTGTGGAGAAGACCCCTCCTCCAAGGAGAGCGTGTCAGGAACAAGCTCTTAAAAGAGCTAAGAGCATAGCAATCCCCAGTGTGATTATAACAGCTCCCTCCAATAACGAGACAAGGCTACGTTTAGAGGGATCAAGAAGAACTGTCAAAACCTTTATTTCCCTTGGGACCAACCAATAGGGTCACCACAATAACATTGTTGTGAAACCTCAATAAAATCACAAACAGTCAAACCAAATCAAGCAACACACAGTGACTTATCACAACACAATGGCACATTTTTAAAGGGGTGGGGGAGACAATATTTAACAGTAAATATCTCACCTGCCTGCAAAATTAGCAATATGCAAATCTACCCGAATATGCAAATGAACCAGTCTTGCAATTCAGGTAGTGCATATTGCTGTTGCTACCAACAGAGGGCACTAGACAAGCTCCATAGCCAAACCCACCTAGTTGGTAGCAAACCTCAGCAATACAAGAGAGCAGGCAATACATTACACAGTACACACACACACACTATAAACAATTACATTACACACACCCTGCACCTATAATGGGTACAGGGTGACTAAAACATAAGATAAATAAAGCAGCCTACATAAATAGTCTGTCTGAAGGTAGACTAGGGGCTTTAAAGCCAGATACATGAAAGAGTCATAGTCACAGGGGAGGAAGCTGGCAAGTAGGCCTCTCCAGGACCAAGTAGCGAAGGGCACTTCGTCACATATCTCCCCTTTGGGGGGAAGACTAACCAGGCACCTGACTTTCTGTCGGTCAGTGCCTAAGTTAGTCGAGTCACCCACCGACCATAAGCAAGTGCCAGAGTAGCCCACCCACAACAAACAGTTATTAGAGCAGCCCACCCACAGCAAACAGTGACTGCACCTGGGTATTCCTCTGGGGTGATGGGGCAACACGCTGTGGGGACTTGAGGGGCAGAGGCCAGCGGCGCTCTGCCCTGATGCCAGCGCTTCTGCTGGGAGGAGGGGGGTGCAGGCCAGTCTTGTGACAAGGGGATCGGTAGGGCAGAGGCCAGCGGTGGTCTGCCCTGATGCCAGCTCTTCTGCTGGTATAGCCTGCAGGACATCAGGCTCTGAACAAGGGACAAAGGGAGGGCAGAGGCCGACTGCACTCTGCCCAGCTGCCAGCTCTTCCACTGGGGGGCTTGGGACATAGTCCGGCTCAGTAGCCAGGGGAACATGGGGGTCAGTGGGGGTTAACATCTCCCCTGTTAACCCTGGGGCCAAGTTAGGAGTTAGCTGGGGCGGGGAATTCGTACTTACCCCCTCCTCCTGTTGTCCCTGTGAGGGTAGTTGGGGATCTGGACATGCTGTCCAGCATCCCTGTAGGTCGGGCACAGAGACCACGGTCCCCTCTGCGCCATCTGGGAGATTGGTGTCTCCCCTTTGTAGGTTAAGCTGCCGCTGGGGAGATAGGGTGCTGTGCTCCTCTCCCTGAAACACAGGCTGCCGCTGGAGAGGGAGACCGCCTGTCTCCACTCCCATAACATTGTCCTGCTGCTGGAGAGAGAGACCAACTGTCTCTGCTCCCTGTAGGATACACTGCTGCTGGGGAGGAAGGACGACACCTTCGGCTCCCTGTAACTTGCACTGCCGCTGGAGAGGAAGGACGACACCTTCGGCTCCCTGTAAATTGCACTGCCGCTGGAGACTAGGTGTCCATATCCTCAACCTCCACAGTTGTCGCTCAAAGGCCATTGCCGCACTGTTCTCAGCACTCAACTGGCGCATTACTTGTTTGACCACCTCGTTCGAAAGGTCTGGGCCATAGCAGACCAACCGGCTCTTTACCTCCTCAATGTAAGCGTCGTCCTCGTAGCGACGTATCATGTTGAGGTGCTCTTCGCAGGGCTCTATCCATCCCTGCTCCATGCTGCTGTAGTTAGGGACGCTGCACAGTGGCTAGCGTTGCCCTCAATAACCTCTCATACGATACCAGTGTCTCCGAGCTGCTTCTCCTCGCACTAGGACGCCATCCCACCGCTGCCACCAATGTAACGGAGCTCCTTGTACTCCGACTGAGTACCCTCCGTTGACGGATGCTCCTAGCGCTTCCTGAGGACTCCAAGCACTGCAGCAGACACCGCAACCACCGCAGACTCCGCAACCGCCGTATCTTGACTGGAGTCTCACCGTCTTCCTTCCACCCTGGATCAGCTTCTGTCCTCCAGGACTGTGTGGGAAAGAACTCTTCCTTCCACCCTGTACGAACCTCCAGCATCCAGGACTGTGTGGCGAAGACCCCTCCTCCAAGGAGAGCGTGTCAGGAACAAGCTCTTAAAAGAGCTAAGTGACTCAAGCTCAGGGGAGCATGCAGAGCATAGCAATCCCCAGTGTGATTATAACAGCTCCCTCCAATAACGAGACAAGGCTACATTTAGAGGGATCAAGAAGAACTGTCAAAACCTTTATTTCCCTTGGGACCAGCCAATACAGTCACCACAATAACATTGTTGTGAAACCTCAATAAAATCACAAACAGTCAAACCATATCAAGAAACACACAGTGACTTATCAAAACACAATGGCACATTTTTAAAGGGGTGGGGGGAGACAATATTTAACAGTAAATATCTCACCTGCCTGCAGAATTAGCAATATGCAAATCTACCTGAATATGCAAATGAACCAGTCTTGCAATTCAGGTAGTGCATATTGCTGTTGCTACCAACAGAGGGCACTAGACAAGCTCCATAGCCAAACCCACCTAGTTGGTAGCAAACCTCAGCAATACAAAAGAGCAGGCAATACATTACACAGTACATACACACACACTATAAACAATTACATTACACACACCCTGCACCTATAATGGGTACAGGGTGACTAAAACATAAGATAAATAAAGCAGCCTACATAAATTGTCTGTCTGAAGGTAGACTAGGGGCTTTAAAGCCAGATACATGAAAGAGTCATAGTCACAGGGGAGGAGGCTGGCAAGTAGGCCTCTCCAGGACCAAGTGGCGAAGGGCACTTCGTCACAGTCCTTCATTAATATAAACACGGACTCTCCACAAATGCACCCAAACATTCACATGCTGTACATAATGGTTCTCCAAATAAATTCACAAGTGCATTCACATTCCAGATGCACACAAATACAAAGAGGGCCAATGACGGTGGAAGGTCAGTGCATGCATACACTGGCACTAACATAAATACACACCTACTTTGACACATAATGCTATTTTGCACAAATACAGTCTTGCAGTCACACACAAACGTAAAATGCACTCAGTAAAAATACATCATTGCACTTACATGCTGCATTCATTCAAATCACATATGTATTCATTCTAACCGACAATGCATTTATCTTAAAGGACCACTATAGTGCCAGGAAAACATACTCGTTTTTCTGGCACTATAGTGTCCTGAGGGTGCCCCCACCCTCAGGGACCCCCTCCCGCCCGGCTCTGGAAGGGGGAAAGGGTTAAAAACTTACCTTTTTCCAGCGCTGGGCGGGGAGCTCTCCTCCTTCTCTCCTCCTCCGTTCCTCCTCCTGGGCTGAATGCGCACGCGCGGCAAGAGCTGCGCGCGCATTCAGCCCGTCGCATAGGAAAGCATTTACAATGCTTTCCTATGGACGCTTGCGTGCTCTCACTGTGAAAATCACAGTGAGAAGCACGCAAGCGCCTCTAGTGGCTGTCAATGAGACAGCCACTAGAGGATTAGGGGGAAGGCTTAACCCATTCATAAACATAGCAGTTTCTCTGAAACTGCTATGTTTATAAAAAAAATGGGTTAACCCTAGAAGGACCTGGCACTTAATTAAGCTGAAGTGGTCTGGGTGCCTAGAGTGGTCCTTTAATAACACACATAAAAATGCAGTAACAGACTAGTACTGACTCTATACACAAAGCATCCACACACTATATGCACACTTAAATCCACATATAATCACAAAAAAAGTTATGTAATGTATGTATAGCAGTGTTAAAGGGGTCTGGTACCAAATTTGAACTGCTGTTAGTCTAACGTTGTGTAAATATATTTGTCTGTTGGTGCAGACAGTATCCATACATAACACACAGTATTGCTATATGGTGTGACCCTACACCATAGTTTTACATTGAAAATTATCCATAAAGCATTTCAAACTGTACCTGTTGTATATGCACTCTTTCCATTTTGTGTATTAGTGTCTAATGATCAGTTCGAACAAGTTCGATACAAAACTGTTTGAGTTAGCTTTGTACATACATGATAGTCAGTGTGTTCATGCCCTTTGCATATCGTGGATACAGTAAAGACTCTATACCTATTATCAATAGGTTGTTCTGGCTCTATACATATAGTTTTCAAAGTCTCTGTAAATATTATGGTCCATTTGTGCAGGCTGTGTACATATCAGGTATGGCTAGTTTGTACAGGTATCATACTTTTTAGTAGTCATTTGTGCCTGCTCCATATATCGTGGTCAGTTTGTGCTGAATCAATACATATTATGCTTAGTTTGTTCCAACTATGTACATATTAAGGTCAGTTTTTTTCCAAAGCAGTCTGTTAGTGTAGGCAGTGTACATATTATGGATGGTCCATTTGTTGAGACTTTGTGCATGTTATGGATGGCCTGTTTATGCAATCTGTGTATATATTGTTGTTTGTTCAAGCTCTGTACATATTATGTAGGGTTGGTTTGTTCAGGCGGTGTACATATTCTGTATAGCCATTATGTATGCAGACTCTATATTTGTCTCTGCCAGTTTGTATATTTTTCTTAGTACATGCTCTATACAAAAACTCTTTTTATCATAAATTGATAAAATACAATTAATTGATCAGCATTTATTCCTAATCCATTTTTCCAGTTCTATTTGCCAGTATTTGAGCTCTAGTCCTCTCTCAGTAATGTAAATTCTTTCACTAACCTTTTTGTATTTCTTACACTCTTATGCCAATTTATCTACCATTATTGGTTTTATCACTCCCTGATCAAATGTTATTTTCCCATATCACATCTCTCTTTTTATGTGTTTCCAATGCATATCTTCTCTTTCTCTCTCTCTCCTAGGAGATGGCCAAGTGGATTTTGAAGAGTTTGTGACACTATTAGGACCAAAGATCACAACTTCGGGGATCCCAGATAAATTGCGTGGTGCAGACTTTGACACTGTATTTTGGAAGGTACCATGATCATTCTTAGAAACAAAATGATTTGGTGTCTGTATAGTAGTGTTCTTATATTCTTTTGTATAGCTATACACACTTACAAACCTATACTATGCACACAATACAGCTGTGACAGTAGTCACCATCACTGGGAGCAGAAGGACACTTTACAATGGTTCCTAAATGACTCCTATGTCTCAGGCACCCTGTGCCCATTTAAAAAAGAAAAAGGGCACAGGGTGCCTGAGACATGGGAGACATTTAGGAACCATTGTAAAGTGTCCTTCTGCTCCCAGTGATGGTGACTACCATCACAACAGCAATACCACATGGACTTTTAATAACATTTGAGATATTTGTGAAGTCACACATTTTGGAATAAGGAACCCACAAGTCACTTATACATTAAATGGGTTATATTTAGGGATAACTTTAAATGAAAAAAGGACTTGGAAACTATTATAGATCACATACTAAGCAACAGTTTGCAATCCTGGTCTGCCATTGCAAAAGCTACTAAGTTGCTTTCGTGCATAAAAAGAGATATTGATTCAGTTTATCTAAATATATTTTTTTGCCTCTTTATAAATCAATGGTAAGACCCCACCCTGAATATGCAGTGCAATTGTGGGCACCAGTGTTAAAGAAGGGTATTGCAGAACTATATGATAACCTGTTCCTCAGCAGGAATATACAACAGACAATAGGTCATTAATTGAAACTGGAAAAAAAAGTGTTTTTGCTTACAGCAGAAAAAAGTGTTCTTTAAAGTAGGAACAATAAAGATGTGGCATTTTCTACCTAAAGAGATTGTCTTATCAGAGTCTATATACATTTTATTTTTTTTGCATTGGAGTAGCTTGCCCCAGTAGCTTGTGCAAGTACAAGAGAAACATAGCATTATAGTTGGTCAGCATTTCAAGGGTACTGCACAATTTGTTGTTAATTTTATTTAAAAAAATCATGAGGAACACAATTCTATGTAGGTGAAGCAGATAGAGAAATAAACATGTTAAAGCATAGAACTGTAGATAAATTGCAAGACATGTGTAAACCATGGGGTCTGAGGGGTCATCTATGGAAAATACTCAATTAGAATATAATAACAGAAAATAATAGCTAAACCATTGCAGGTTAGTTTCTAAATATGGCCACGCATAATATAGCCAATCTGCTAGGAGTTTGGATTAGTCACCTGATTCCTAATAAGGGAGAGTCTCAGCTGCCGCCACTTTCAGCCACCTTGATGGAGTCCTTCTATTGTGTTCATGTACACTGACCGCAAATTCCATGTAGCCAGTAACAGGAGTAATAGGCCTCCAAGACAAGTAGATTGCGTTGGGGGCTTGCGTGTTCACTGGCCCGGTCTCATGATGAGTTATTGCAAGTGTGTGAGCAAGAGCGATGAGGTGCTGACCACTGCCGCTGCAGCCTCTTGCACCTACTCTTCTGCAGCACTCTTCTGGAAACATGTGGGAGAGACCCACTCAAGCCACATCGCCAGCAGGACACACCTTGTGGGCAGTGACTCGTCTTGCAGGAGTGGAGTTAAGCCCCATTTCATAAAGCCATGCCAAGGAGGTCTCACAAATGTGGTCAACATTCAAGAGGAGTGAATCCCCGAGCAAGGGTGGCTTTGGGAAGGGCTTCTGGCTGTAGGCCCCAGCAGGGCGGCTTTCTTGAGAACCAGGCCTTAACCTTCTGGTTCAGCTGTAGGCTTGATGTCTTGTCAATGGGACCCCACCAAGTCACAAGTGGGGATCATTATATCCAGGGATCGGAGGAAGGGCCCTAAGCAAGTGAGCTCTAATTTAAGGCCACCTCCCCTTCCCCAAGTGTGCCTGCAAACCACAGGATAGCAGAACACAGACTGTGAGGATCAGCTACAGACAGAAAGTTAGCAAATAATCGGTAGGGTACTCCATGGGGTTGTGTGCAGTATTCTTGCCAAAATGGAGCAAGTTTAAGACCTTAAGTTGATTCCCCCGAGGAGCTCCAGCACCATGCCACCGTCCTGGTCATCTGTCAGGCCCCACCCCCTATAGATAATTTTAAAAGAGGATTGGATGCTTTTTTGCATAAACAAAATATTCAAGAATAAAATATGTAGAGTTTGTTGATCCAATGAGAAATGTGTTTGCCATTATGGAGTCAAGAAGGATTGTTTCCTTTTTTTGTGGCATAATTGGAAATGGCTACAGTTGTTTTTCTTGCCATCTTTTGAAACAGCATCTTTAAATACAGGTCTTCATGGTTGAACTTGATGGTCTTTTTTTCAACCTAGACAACTATACATTTTCATCATGCCATTTTAATATATGTGAAATGCAATGCAGCAGTGTAATTTGGATCCAGTTTACTGTCTGCTGGCAACATAGTGTCATGCTGCATACTGCCCTTATATATTATTATTATAAATTAATAAAAATTAAAGGGACACTATAGTCACCAGAACAACTACAGCTTATTGAATTTATCCTGGTGAGTAGAATCATTACCTCCAGGCTTTTTGCTGTAAACACTGAGAAAATGTAGTGTTTACATTACAGCCTAGTGATAACTTCACTGGCCACTCCTCAGATGGCTGTTAGAGATCCTTCCTGGGTCATGGCTGCATAAAATGCATCCAAACATTCACTATCTCCTCCCACTGCATGCAGACACTGAACTTTCCTCATATAAATTCATTGATTCAGTTCATCTCTATGAGGAGATGCTGATTGGCCAGGGCTGTGTTTGAATTGTGCTGGCTCTGCCCCTGATCTGCCTCTTTGTCAGTCTCAGCCAATCCTATGGGGAAACAGGGACAAAATATGCTGCTGCAGACATGAATACAAGTAAGTTTTACTATTTTTAGGGAGGCATGAGGGGGTCAGGGGGGCTAGATGGTGGTTTTAACCCTTATAGGGTCAGGAATACATGTTTGTGTTCCTGACCCTATAGTGCTTCTTTAAACAGACGGTAACGTAAAATATTACCTAAAATTATCCCAATAGTCCTGCACTGTCAAATGTAACCCATAAAACTAATTCCCATTTTCCGCACACAGCAATACACAAAAAATTGACTACACCAAAAATAATCCATGATTCTTCAATCCAGTGTAGAGAAAGAAAATTACGTCTTCTTTTAAATCCTTGCAGGGCATCTATTTATCCCTTTAGGCTCAAGGAGAGCTGATGTGGACCCTTATAGAATGTGAGAGATGTAGGTAACTGCCTCTTTTGAGTTTAAAGACAGACAGAAATTCATTCAGTAAACCTTGTGAAAGTACCAGCAAGGCTTGCTGAATACTGCAGTGTGATTCACTAGACGTACATCAGATCAATCACATTGCAGAGGAGACCAAACTGAACACCTACAAACGTTTACTAGTTTACCTTTACTCACTCCCTAATAGATTTTACTAACCATTTTTAATAATTACATTGCCAGATAGTATTAACAGAGAATTCTCTAAATATGCAGTTAACTAATATCACATTGGACGTAGAAAAAACAATATCATCAGCACATAATATGTCACACACATGTGCAGTGCTCCACAGTAGGAATAAAACGTAATGCCTATTCTGAAGGCAAACACTGTGTATGCAGAGTACTGGGCAAACTTAAGTACAGTGAACGAGGGGGAATAGATGAAGATTTACTGCTTACTAGCATGCACAAATATTGTATAAAATGTTTTTATTCTTTATGCTAGTAGAATTAGTGGGTGAAATGGCACTGAAGCTGACCTTGCTTGTGACCTGCACTTGTCCAGTATTTAGCTGTGTAAAGTCCTTTGGGCAGTGACCACAGTCCCTTATATCCCTGCAGTGTGACATGCAGTCACTGTCAGTTGAAGAACTGAAGAGGTTGCTGTATGACACATTCTGCGAGCACCTGTCCATGCGTGACATTGAAAATATCATCCTGACCGAGGAGTCTGGAAACCTGGGTACGAGAGGGGATTGTCCTGTCGATATGGAGAGTGAGTGTTGAGGGTAAACGTCTTATAACCCTTTCAAGCAAATTAATTTCCAATAGAAATAGAAATTTATGTTTGTATCCCTATTTCACTTTTTTTGTCAAGAAAATAATATGTGACTGATTCACTAGTAGTAAACCTACAACACCCTCTTTCCTTTCTATACACACAGTCATCCCACTAACAGTGTTACACATGTCTCCATTATACACAGTCATTCCACTAGCACAGTGTTACACATCTCTCCATTCTATGCACACTGTCATCTCCTTAGCACAGTGTTACACATCTCTCTTTTCTATACACACTGTCATCTCCCTAGCACAGTGTTACACATCTCTCTTTTCTATACACACTGTCATCTCCCTAGCACAGTGTTACACATCTCTCTTTTCTATACACACTGTCATCTCCCTAGCACAGTGTTACACATCTCTCTTTTCTATACACACTGTCATCTCCCTAGCACAGTGTTACACATCTCTCTTTTCTATACACACTGTCATTCCACTAGCACAGTGTTACACATCTCTCCGTTGAATGCACACAGTCATTCCACTAGCACAGTGTTACACATCTCTCCTTTCTATACACACTGTCATCTCCCTAGCACAGTGTTACACATCACTCTTTTCTATATACACAGTCATCCCACTAGCACAGTGTTACACATCTCTCCGTTCTATGCACACAGTCATCCCACTAGCGCAGTGTTACACATCTCTCCATTATACACACAGTTATTCCACTAGCACAGTGTTACACATCTCTCTTTTCTTAACACAGTCATCCCACTAGCACAGTGTTACACATCTCTCCATTGTATGCACACAGTCATTTCACTAGCACAGTCTTACACATCTCTCCTTTCTATATACACTGTCATCTCCCTAGCACAGTGTTACACATCTCTCCTTTCTATACACACTGTCATCTCCCTAGCACAGTGTTACACATCACTCTTTTCTATATACACAGTCATCCCACTAGCACAGTGTTACACATCTCTCCGTTCTATGCACACAGTCATCCCACTAGCGCAGTGTTACACATCTCTCCATTATACACACAGTTATTCCACTAGCACAGTGTTACACATCTCTCTTTTCTTAACACAGTCATCCCACTAGCACAGTGTTACACATCTCTCCATTGTATGCACACAGTCATTTCACTAGCACAGTGTTACACATCTCTCCTTTCTATACACACTGTCATCTCCCTAGCACAGTGTTACACATCACTCTTTTCTATATACACAGTCATCCCACTGACACAGTGTTGCACATCTCTATATTCTATGCACACAGTCATCCCACTAGCACAGTGTTACATATCTCTCCGTTCTATGCACACAGTCATCCCACTAGTACAGTGTTACACATCTCTCCGTTCTATGCACAGTCATTCCACTAGCTAAGTGTTACACATCTCTCCGTTCTATGCACACAGTCATCCCACTAGTACATTGTTACACATCTCTCCATTCTATGCACACAGTCATCCCACTTGCATAGTGTTACACATCTCTCCATTCTATACACACAGTCATTTCACTAGCACAGTGTTACACATCTCTCCTTTCTATACACACTGTCATCTCCCTAGAACAGTGTTACACATCACTCTTTTCTATATACACAGTCATCCCACTGACACAGTGTTGCACATCTCTATATTCTATGCACACAGTCATCCCACTAGCAGAGTGTTACATATCTCTCCGTTCTATGCACACAGTCATCCCATTCGCACAGTGTTACACATCTCTCCGTTCTATGCACAGTCATTCCACTAGCTAAGTGTTACACATCTCTCCGTTCTATGCACACAGTCATCCCACTTGCATAGTGTTACACATCTCTCCATTCTATATACACAGTCATTCCACTAATACAGTGTTACACATCTATCAGTTCTATGCACACAGTCATCCCACTAACACAGTGTTACACATGTCACCATTACAGACACAGTCATCCCACTAATACAGTGTTACATGTCACCATTATACACACAGTCATTCCACTAGCACAGTGTTAACACATCTCTCCTTTCTATACACAATGTAATCCCACTAGCACAGTGTTACACATCTCTCCAATGTATGCACACAGTCATTCCACTAGCACAGTGTTACACATCTCTACTTTCTATACACACTATCATCTCTCTAGCACAGTATTAAACATCTCTCTTTTCTATAAACACAGTCATCCCACTAGCAGTGTTACACATATCTCTGTTCTATAAACACAGTCATCCTACTAGCACAGTATTACACATCTCTCCATTCAATGCACACAGTTATCCCACTAGCAGTGTTAAATAACTCTCCTTTCTATACATACAGTCATCCCACTAGCACAGTGTTACACATCTCTCCGTTCTGCTCACACAATCATCCCACTAGCAAAGTGTTACATAACTCTCTTTTCTATACACACAGTCATTCCCTCAGCACAGTGTTACGTATCTCTATTTTCTATACACAGTCATCTCACTAGCACATTGTTATAAATCTCTCCTTTCTATTTGTATAGTCATCCCACTAGCACAGTGTTACACATATCTCCGTGCTATGCACACAGTCATTCCACTAGCACAGTGTTACACATCTCTCCTTTCTATACACAGTCATCCCACTAGCACAGGGTTACACGTCTCTCTTTTCTATGCACACAGTCATCCCACTAGCACAGTGTGACATATCTCTATTTTCTATTTACACAGTCATCCCACTAGCAGAGTGTTACATATCTCTATTTTCTATTTACACAGTCATCCCACTAGCACAGTGTTACATATCTCTCCAATGTATGCACACAGTCATTCCACTAGCACAGTGTTACACATCTCTACTTTCTATACACACTATCATCTCTCTAGCACAGTATTAAACATCTCTCTTTTCTATAAACACAGTCATCCCACTAGCAGTGTTACACATATCTCTGTTCTATAAACACATTCATCCCACTAGCACAGTATTACACATCTCTCCGTTCAATGCACAAAGTTATCCCACTAGCAGTGTTACATAACTCTCCTTTCCATACATACAGTCATCCCACTAGCACAGTGTTACACATATCTCCATGCTATGCACTCAGTCATCACACTAGCACAGTCTTACATATCTCTCTTTTCAATACACACAGTCATTCCACTAGCACAGTGTTACACATCTCTCCTTTCTATAAACAGTCATCCCACTAGCACAGGGTTACACGTCTCTCTTTTCTATGCACACAGTCATCCCACTAGCACAGTGTTACATATCTCTCTTTTCTATGCACACAGTCATCCCACTTGCACAGTGTTACATATCTCTATTTTCTATTTACACAGTCATCCCACTAGCACAGTGTTACATATCTCTATTTTCTATTTACACAGTCATCCCACTAGCACAGTGTTACATATCTCTCCTTTCTATATACACAGTCATCCCACTAGCACAGTGTTACACAACTCTCCGTTCTATGCACACAGTCATCCCACTAGCGCAGTGTTACACATCTCTCTTTTCTATAAACACAGTCATCCCACTAGCAGTGTTACACATATCTCTGTTCTATAAACACAGTCATCCCACTAGCACAGTATTACACATCTCTCCGTTCAATGCACACAGTTATCCCACTAGCAGTGTTAAATAACTCTCCTTTCTATACATACAGTCATCCCACTAGCACAGTGTTACACATCTCTCCGTTCTGCTCACACAATCATCCCACTAGCAAAGTGTTACATAACTCTCTTTTCTATACACACAGTCATTCCCTCAGCACAGTGTTACGTATCTCTATTTTCTATACACAGTCATCTCACTAGCACAGTGTTATAAATCTCTCCTTTCTATACATATAGTCATCCCACTAGCACAGTGTTACACATATCTCCATGCTATGCACACAGTCATCACACTAGCACAGTGTTACATATCTCTCTTTTCAATACACACAGTCATTCCACTAGCACAGTGTTACACATCTCTCCTTTCTATACACAGTCATCCCACTAGCACAGGGTTACACGTCTCTCTTTTCTATGCATGCAGTCATCCCACTAGCACAGTGTTACATATCTCTATTTTCTATTTACACAGTCATCCCACTAGCACAGTGTTACATATCTCTATTTTCTATTTACACAGTCATCCCACTAGCACAGTGTTACATATCTCTCCAATGTATGCACACAGTCATTCCACTAGCACAGTGTTACACATCTCTACTTTCTATACACACTATCATCTCTCTAGCACAGTATTAAACATCTCTCTTTTCTATAAACACAGTCATCCCACTAGCAGTGTTACATATATCTCTGTTCTATAAACACATTCATCCCACTAGCACAGTATTACACATCTCTCCGTTCAATGCACACAGTTATCCCACTAGCAGTGTTACATAACTCTCCTTTCCATACATACAGTCATCCCACTAGCACAGTGTTACACATCTCTCCTTTCTATACACAGTCATCCCACTAGCACAGTGTTACATATCTCTATTTTCTATTTACACAGTCATCCCACTAGCAGTGTTACATAACTCTCCTTTCCATACATACAGTCATCTCACTAGCACAGTGTTATAAATCTCTCCTTTCTATACATATAGTCATCCCACTAGCACAGTGTTACACATATCTCCATGCTATGCACTCAGTCATCACACTAGCACAGTGTTACATATCTCTCTTTTCAATACACACAGTCATTCCACTAGCACAGTGTTATATATCTCTATTTTCTATTTACACAGTCATCCCACTAGCACAGTGTTACATATCTCTATTTTCTATTTACACAGTCATCCCACTAGCACAGTGTTACATATCTCTATTTTCTATTTACACAGTCATCCCACTAGCACAGTGTTACATATCTCTCCGTTCTATGCACACAGTCATCCCACTAGCGCAGTGTTACACATCTCTCCATTATACACAGAGTTATTCCACTAGCACAGTGTTACACATCTCTCTTTTCTTAACACAGTCATCCCACTAGCACAGTGTTACACATCTCTCCATTGTATGCACACAGTCATTTCACTAGCACAGTGTTACACATCTCTCCTTTCTATACACACTGTCATCTCCCTAGCACAGTGTTACACATCACTCTTTTCTATATCCACAGTCATCTCACTGTCTATATACACAGTCCGTTCTATGCACACAGTCATCCCACTTGCATAGTGCTACACATCTCTCCATTCTATACACACAGTCATTCCACTAATACAGTGTTACACATCTATCAGTTCTATGCACACAGTCATCCCACTAACACAGTGTTACACATCTCTACTTTCTATACACACTATCATCTCTCTAGCACAGTATTAAACATCTCTCTTTTCTATAAACACAGTCATCCCACTAGCAGTGTTACACATATCTCTGTTCTATAAACACAGTCATCCTACTAGCACAGTATTACACATCTCTCCATTCAATGCACACAGTTATCCCACTAGCAGTGTTAAATAACTCTCCTTTCTATACATACAGTCATCCCACTAGCACAGTGTTACACATCTCTCCGTTCTGCTCACACAATCATCCCACTAGCAAAGTGTTACATAACTCTCTTTTCTATACACACAGTCATTCCCTCAGCACAGTGTTACAGATCTCTATTTTCTATACACAGTCATCTCACTAGCACAGTGTTATAAATCTCTCCTTTCTATACATATAGTCATCCCACTAGCACAGTGTTACATATCTCTCTTGTCTATGCACACAGTCATCCCACTAGCAGTGTTACACATATCTCTGTTCTATAAACACAGTCATCCCACTAGCACAGTATTACACATCTCTCCGTTCAATGCACACAGTTATCCCACTAGCAGTGTTACATAACTCTCCTTTCCATACATACAGTCATCCCACTAGCACAGTGTTACACATATCTCCATGCTATGCACTCAGTCATCACACTAGCACAGTCTTACATATCTCTCTTTTCAATACACACAGTCATTCCACTAGCACAGTGTTACACATCTCTCCTTTCTATAAACAGTCATCCCACTAGCACAGGGTTACACGTCTCTCTTTTCTATGCACACAGTCATCCCACTAGCACAGTGTTACATATCTCTCTTTTCTATGCACACAGTCATCCCACTAGCACAGTGTTACATATCTCTATTTTCTATTTACACAGTCATCCCACTAGCACAGTGTTACATATCTCTCCTTTCTATATACACAGTCATCCCACTAGCACAGTGTTACACATCTCTCCGTTCTATGCACACAGTCATCCCACTAGCGCAGTGTTACACATCTCTCCATTATACACAGAGTTATTCCACTAGCACAGTGTTACACATCTCTCTTTTCTTAACACAGTCATCCCACTAACACAGTGTTACACATCTCTCCAATGTATGCACACAGTCATTCCACTAGCACAGTGTTACACATCTCTACTTTCTATACACACTATCATCTCTCTAGCACAGTATTAAACATCTCTCTTTTCTATAAACACAGTCATCCCACTAGCAGTGTTACACATATCTCTGTTCTATAAACACAGTCATCCCACTAGCACAGTATTGCACATCTCTCCGTTCAATGCACACAGTCATCACACTAGCACAGTGTTACATATCTCTCCATGCTATGCACACAGTCATCACACTAGCACAGTGTTACACATCTCTCCGTTCTGCTCACACAATCATCCCACTAGCAAAGTGTTACATAACTCTCTTTTCTATACACACAGTCATTCCCTCAGGACAGTGTTACAGATCTCTATTTTCTATACATAGAAAGGAGAGATTTATAACACTGTGCTAGTGAGAACTAGCACAGTGTTATAAATCTCTCCTTTCTATACATATAGTCATCCCACTAGCACAGTGTTACACATCTCTCCATGCTATGCACACAGTCATCACACTAGCACAGTGTTACATATCTCTCTTTTCAATACACACAGTCATTCCACTAGCACAGTGTTATATATCTCTATTTTCTATTTACACAGTCATCCCACTAGCACAGTGTTACATATCTCTATTTTCTATTTACACAGTCATCCCACTAGCACAGTGTTACATATCTCTATTTTCTATTTACACAGTCATCCCACTAGCACAGTGTTACATATCTCTCCTTTCTATATACACAGTCATCCCACTAGCACAGTGTTACACAACTCTCCGTTCTATGCACACAGTCATCCCACTAGCGCAGTGTTACACATCTCTCTTTTCTATAAACACAGTCATCCCACTAGCAGTGTTACACATATCTCTGTTCTATAAACACAGTCATCCCACTAGCACAGTATTACACATCTCTCCGTTCAATGCACACAGTTATCCCACTAGCAGTGTTAAATAACTCTCCTTTCTATACATACAGTCATCCCACTAGCACAGTGTTACACATCTCTCCGTTCTGCTCACACAATCATCCCACTAGCAAAGTGTTACATAACTCTCTTTTCTATACACACAGTCATTCCCTCAGCACAGTGTTACAGATCTCTATTTTCTATACACAGTCATCTCACTAGCACAGCGTTATAAATCTCTCCTTTCTATACATATAGTCATCCCACTAGCACAGTGTTACACATATCTCCATGCTATGCACACAGTCATCACACTAGCACAGTGTTACATATCTCTCTTTTCAATACACACAGTCATTCCACTAGCACAGTGTTACACATCTCTCCTTTCTATACACAGTCATCCCACTAGCACAGGGTTACACGTCTCTCTTTTCTATGCACACAGTCATCCCACTAGCACAGTGTTACATATCTCTATTTTCTATTTAGACAGTCATCCCACTAGCACAGTGTTACATATCTCTATTTTCTATTTACACAGTCATCCCACTAGCACAGTGTTACATATCTCTATTTTCTATTTACACAGTCATCCCACTAGCATAGTGTTGCATATCTCTCTTTTCTTTTTACACAGTCATCCCACTAGCACAGTGTTACATATCTCTATTTTCTATTTACACAGTCATCCCACTAGCACAGTGTTACATATCTCTATTTTCTATTTACACAGTCATCCCACTAGCACAGTGTTACATATCTCTATTTTCTATTTACACAGTGTTACATATCTCTATTTTCTATTTACACAGTCATCCCTCTAGCACAGTGTTACATATCTCTATTTTCTATTTACACAGTCATCCCACTAGCACAGTGTTACATATCTCTATTTTCTATTTACACAGTCATCCCACTAGCACAGTGTTACATATCTCTCCAATGTATGCACACAGTCATTCCACTAGCACAGTGTTACACATCTCTACTTTCTATACACACTATCATCTCTCTAGCACAGTATTAAACATCTCTCTTTTCTATAAACACAGTCATCCCACTAGCAGTGTTACACATATCTCTGTTCTATAAACACAGTCATCCCACTAGCACAGTATTACACATCTCTCCGTTCAATGCACACAGTTATCCCACTAGCAGTGTTACATAACTCTCCTTTCCATACATACAGTCATCCCACTAGCACAGTGTTACACATCTCTCCGTTCTGCTTACACAGTCATTCCCTCAGCACAGTGTTACAGATCTCTATTTTCTATACACAGTCATCTCACTAGCACAGCGTTATAAATCTCTCCTTTCTATACATATAGTCATCCCACTAGCACAGTGTTACACATATCTCCATGCTATGCACACAGTCATCACACTAGCACAGTGTTACATATCTCTCTTTTCAATACACACAGTCATTCCACTAGCACAGTGTTACACATCTCTCCTTTTTGTACACAGTCATCCCACTAGCACAGGGTTACACGTCTCTCTTTTCTATGCACACAGTCATCCCACTAGCACAGTGTTACATATCTCTATTTTCTATTGAGACAGTCATCCCACTAGCACAGTGTTACATATCTCTATTTTCTATTTACACAGTCATCCCACTAGCACAGTGTTACATATCTCTATTTTCTATTTACACAGTCATCCCACTAGCATAGTGTTACATATCTCTCTTTTCTATGCACACAGTCATCCCACTAGCACAGTGTTACATATCTCTATTTTCTATTTACACAGTCATCCCACTAGCACAGTGTTACATATCTCTCCAATGTATGCACACAGTCATTCCACTGGCACAGTGTTACACATCTCTACTTTCTATACACACAGTCATTCCACTAATACAGTGTTACACATCTATCAGTTCTATGCACACAGTCATCCCACTAACACAGTGTTACACATCTCTATATTCTATGCACACAGTCATCCCACTAGCACAGTGTTACATATGTCTCCGTTCTATGCACACAGTCATCCCACTAGCACAGTGTTACACATCTCTCCATTCTATGCACAGTCATTCCACTAGCTAACTGTTACACATCTCTCCGTTCTATGCACACAGTCATCCCACTAGTACATTGTTACACATCTCTCCATTCTATACACACAGTCATTCCACTAATACAGTGTTACACATCTATCAGTTCTATGCACACAGTCATCCCACTAACACAGTGTTATACATGTCACCATTACAGATACAGTCATCCCACTAACACAGTGTTACACGTCACCATTATATACACACAGTCATTCCACTAGCACAGTGTTAACACATCTCTCCTTTCTATACACAATGTAATCCCACTAGCACAGTGTTACACATCTCTCCAATGTATACACACAGTCATTCCACTAGCACAGTGTTACATATCTCTACTTTCTATACACACTATCATCTCTCTAGCACAGTATTAAACATCTCTCTTTTCTATAAACACAGTCATCCCACTAGCAGTGTTACACATATCTCTGTTCTATAAACACAGTCATCCCACTAGCACAGTATTACACATCTCTCCGTTCAATGCACACAGTTATCCCACTAGCAGTGTTACATACCTCTCCTTTCCATACATACAGTCATCCCACTAGCACAGTGTTACACATCTCTCCGTTCTGCTCACACAATCATCCCATTAGCAAAGTGTTACATAACTCTCTTTTCTATACACACAGTCATTCCCTCAGCACAGTGTTACAGATCTCTATTTTCTATACACAGTCATCTCACTAGCACAGCGTTATAAATCTCTCCTTTCTATACATATAGTCATCCCACTAGCACAGTGTTACACATATCTCCATGCTATGCACACAGTCATCACACTAGCACAGTGTTACATATCTCTCTTTTCAATACACACAGTCATTCCACTAGCACAGTGTTACACATCTCTCCTTTTTGTACACAGTCATCCCACTAGCACAGGGTTACACGTCTCTCTTTTCTATGCACACAGTCATCCCACTAGCACAGTGTTACATATCTCTATTTTCTATTGACACAGTCATCCCACTAGCACAGTGTTACATATCTCTATTTTCTATTTACACAGTCATCCCACTAGCACAGTGTTACATATCTCTATTTTCTATTTACACAGTCATCCCACTAGCATAGTGTTACATATCTCTCTTTTCTATGCACACAGTCATCCCACTAGCACAGTGTTACATATCTCTATTTTCTATTTACACAGTCATCCCACTAGCACAGTGTTACATATCTCTCTTTTCTATATACACAGTCATCCCACTAGCACAGTGTTACACATCTCTCTTTTCTATACACACAGTCATTCCACTAGCACAGTGTTACAAATTTCTCCTCTTTATACACAGTGTCATCTCACTAGCATAGTGTTACAAATCTCTCCTCTTTATACACAGTGTCATTCCACTAGCACAGTGTTACAAATCTCTCCTCTTTATACACAGTGTCATTCCACTAGCATAGTGCTACACATCTATCCGTTCTATACACACAGGGTGAGACACTGAACAGGGAGAGAATTAACACTTGATTCAGTTTAGAATTAAGCTGGCAAGCAAAAATAATACTAAATAATGTAGGTGCAATCCAGCCCAACAATAAAACTAATTAAAATACTTGTTATTTATATGTTCATGCCATTAAATATGAAAACTGTGGGCGTAATGGAATTCCCTCTGATGTCTATGCTGATTCATCTCTTCTTTCTTGTGCATGCTTCATGTATCACACTGGCAGACTGGAAGTTTGTACTGATGCAACCTTATTCTGTTCCCTCTAAATTACTCATGTTACAGGTTCTTCAAACCAACAGATTCGCCAGACATGCGTACGGAAGAGTCTGATATGCGCCTTTGCAATTGCTTTCATCATCAGCGTAATGCTAATAGCAGCTAATCAGGTCCTGCGCAGTGGCATGAAGTGATGAAGGCAGGCATCCCAATTATGTACTTTTTGGAGCATTTCCCATGTTCTCTCCCACTTCTCTTCCCTGATCTCTGGCCTACTCAAGGACTAATGGACACAGAGGGACTAAAGCTCTCCACACCATTAAAACAATGGGATTCCTTCACCCAGAATGTGCATGGGAAGAATTGCATGGAAAATGCATGGGCATTTAAATTGTCAGGTGACCATCCGTGCTTTTATAACCTATAAAACAAAGGAACTCTCTCTATATAATTTAGATGTATATATGTATACGGATATATAACTCTATATTTATGAGCAATAACACTTTTGGTTGATGAATGGTTAACACTTCGACCACTGGGCACAGGGTCAGAATGGATACTGAGCTCCTGATTTTATATGCTGCCAAGGGAAAGCATCATGAGAGTTAATTAAATGTGTTCCCCTTCCCAATGTCACCTGCCTTAACCCCGGAAATGCTGGAGGGATTCACGTTATATGTAGCTCCTTGCTCTTTTCCTTCCACATGTCTATATGTTTAGGCTTCTGTTTAAAATGTTAGCAACCTGTCCCAAGGTTGCAACGTTTGGATTGCTGTGATTGCTCACTCATGTCGTTGCTACAGTGCCAGTATCACCTTGCAAAGCATTAAGATGCAGGCCAGTCTATCAGAAAAAAGCTTTGTATTGGCTTTCTTCAAATCAGGTATGCTCCTCATAAATCTGGTTGGTGAAGTCTGTCTGCATACAGAACACCACTCACGTATTCCTTTTATTTCTCCTGCATTGTGACATCTGTTCTTCTAGACCTCTTTGCATCTTTATTATTCCTCATACCTCCTCTTTTCATACATTACCTCTACAATTGTTTTCATGAATTACTTGTATTTAATTCTAAGCAGCCCTTGTCTTCTGCCTCGAATGTCTCTTCTGGTTATAACTTATGTTTTAATAACTCTGTCATTCTGCATTAACGGTCTGTGTTCTTCTCATATTCTTCTCTTCTCTGCATATACTCTGTTTCTCTCTAACTTATGTTCACGCTATCTCATCCTGCTCTCCCCATTTATTTTGAATTTAATTTCTTGCACTCTTTATTACTTAAACCATTTGCATTTTCATTATCTTTTTCATGGCATGATTTTTCCTTTTCTCTGCCCACATCATCCAGTAGCCCATGTCTCTCATGCTCCAGTTACTGCAGCTCCGTCTCACTTTGTAATAATTCCTCTTCCTGCCTGCCCTACTCCCATCCCATGTTCCACCTTAATTCCACTGTTACAGCTTCTTGCTGTCCATTGTAAAACCTCAGACTGTAACTGCTTAGAGATTTTCATTTGGGATCTTCTCTAATTCCAACCAAATGTAGAAAAGCAACCATGCATGGAAAACTGCTTGTTAATTGAAATAAATGTTAAAAAAAAAGAAAGAAAGAAATCCTCTCCCTGCTCCAATCCGCACAGAAACAGGCAGTCAGTTAGTAACCCTTTGAAGGTGTGCCATGTGTGGAGGACCGTTTTGTCCACTATAGACAACAAATCCTTGTTTTTCTCCTTTTGACTCTTAATTTTTTGTCTCTTACTCTCTCCCATATGTCCCTCCCTTTATGTCTGTATATTTTTGTCTTCCATTTTTTGCCCAAGTCTTTTTATTTCTTATGTTTTTTCTTCCCAACGCTCTCCTACTTTTTCCTGTCGTTATTATTCTTCAATTTGTCAGACTCTTGTTCCTTCCACCAATGTTCTATATTATATTGTTTTATGTCTCTTTCTTTATTTCATAGAACACAGAAGAAATAAGGTTCTTAACCCTCTTGCTTTTTCATGCTATAGCCTTTATGCTTCTTCTGATTTATCAAACTTTTCATATATTTCCCAGTAGTGACTTTCACTTTCTCAATCTATTTCACTGTTTTGTTTTATAATTATTATTTTTTTTTTTCTTTATTTTCTTCTTGCAATAAATTGTATTGTCTGGATTTCTCTCATAGTTGAAGCAAGACTTGTTTATTGACAGCGTGTGAGTCATTCAAAGCGTGCAGTTGACTATTGTTTAGAGTGCAAAGCAGGTGTGTACAGCCTCTGGTGCCAATCTAGATGCAGCTAGATGTGGACTGCTGCCACCAAAGTGTCAAGACAGTGCCCTTCTCCATTTGAGATGGTGAATTAAGTGTTGTAGCAGGTGGTAATGTATCACAAGCAGTGTTATTTTGCCATGTGCTATGAGTACAGTTCCTTTATTAACACTATTGTGATGAAAATACAATATGTGTGTATATATATATATATATATATATATATATATATATATATATAGTTGCAAGAAAAAGTATATGAACCCTTTGGAATGATATGGATTTCGGCACAAATTGGTCATAAAATGTGATCTGATCATCATCTAAGTCACAACAATAGACAATCACAGTCTGCTTAAACTAATAACACACAAAGAATGAAATGTTGCCATGTTTTTATTGAACACACCATGTAAACATTCACAGTGCAGGTGGAAAAAGTATGTGAACCCCTAGACTAATGACATCTCCAAGAGCTAATTGGAGTGAGATGTCAGCCAACTGGAGTCCAATCAATGAGATGAGATTGGAGGTGTTGGTTACAGCTGCCCTGCCCTATAAAAAACACACACCAGTTCTGGGTTTGCTTTTCACAAGAAGCATTGCTTGATGTGAATGATGCCTCGCACAAAAGAGCTCTCAGAAGACCTACGATTAAGAATTGTTGACTTGCATAAAGCTGGAAAGGGTTATAAAAGTATCTCCAAAAGCCTTGCTGTTCATCAGTCCACGATAAGACAAATTGGCTATAAATGGAGAAAGTTCAGCACTGCTGCTACTCTCCTTAGGAGTGGCCGTCCTGTAAAGATGACTGCAAGAGCACAGCGCAGACTGCTCAATGAGGTGAAGAAGAATCCTAGAGTGTCAGCTAAAGACTTACAAAAGTCACTGGCAAATGCTAACATCCCTGTTAGTGAATCTACAATACGTAAAACACTAAACAAGACTGGATTTCATGGGAGGATACCACAGAGGAAGCCACTGCTGTCCAAACAAAACATTGCTACACGTTTACAGTTTGCACAAGAGCACCTGGATGTTCGACAGCAGTACTGGCAAAATATTCTGTGGACAGATGAAACCAAAGTTGAGTTGTTTGGAAGAAACACACAACACTATGTGTGGCGAAAAAAAGGCACAGCACACCAACATCAAACCTCATCCCAACTGTGAAGTATGGTGGTGGAGGCATCATGGTTTGGGGCTGCTTTGCTGCATCAGGGCCTGGACGGATTGCTATCATCGAAGGAAAAATTAATTCCCAAGTTTATCAAGACATTTTGCAGGAGAACTTAAGGCCATCTGTCTACCAGCTGAAGCTCAACAGAAGATGGGTGTTGCAACAGGACCTCAAAAAATGACCTCAAAAAAGCGATTCACACCAGACATCCCAAGAATATTGCTGAACTGAAACAGTTCTGTAAAGAGGAATGGTCAAGAATTACTCCTGACCGTTGTGCACGTCTGATCTGCAACTACAGGAAACGTTTGGTTGAAGTTATTGCTGCCAACGAGGTTCAACCAGTTATTAAATGCAAGGGTTCACATACTTTTTCCACCTGCACTGTGAATGTTTACATGGTGTGTTAAAAAAAAAAAAGCAACATTTCATTCTTTGTGTGTTATTAGTTTAAGCAGACTGTGATTGTCTATTGTTGTGAATTAGATGGTGATCAGATCACATTTTATGACCAATTTGTGCAGAAATCCATATCATTCCAAAGGGTTCACATACTTTTTCTTGCAACTGGGGTGATCTTAAAGACACTCTAGAAGATGCACATTTTGTCTGGCAGGGATAGGAGACTCTAATTCTCAGGCATATAAAGAGTAATCGTCTCCCTTCACGCTCTCTTCCTACAGGAAGTTATTGTATCATTACAATGAGAATCAGGATAATGAGCTCTAGGAGTGACAGGCTGCAATAATCAGCTAATGCTGCACTCATCCCGCAGTCCTCCCTCACCTCTCCTCTCACCACCTGTCTCCTTCATTCCCACACCTCCTGTCCTTCCCTCTGCCTCCCCCTCTCTTTGTCCTTCTCTTACTCCTGTTCCATCTTAAATATGTTGATAGTCACGACAAATGATGATGTAAATCTCATTTTCAAGTCTGTCCAGAGAAGCGTAGGGAAGAAAGGAGATAATAAACAGATCCACATCTCTGTCTTTTTTTACGCATGCTGTCTCTCTACCTTGCGTTCTCTTTCAACACCCCATGGCTTTTATTTACACAAACCTCCATGCATTATTTGCCCCCCTTTTCAAACAGCTTTCCTGATGTCACTTCAGCACCTCTTTTCTCCATTTTCTTCTTTCAACATCTTTTTATCTTCCCTCATCTTTTACTCATAAACCCTTACTTCTGTCCAAAGTCTCTCTTGCTTATTGATCTATGTTGCACTCTAAGAGCTAACATTAAATCTTATTTTTATTAACACCACGGAAAGAAAGAACACAAAATATATTAATTTTAAAAACTTTATATCTTTATATTTAGATTTTTTTTTTCTGGCAGGTATAATAGTACTTAACAATATATCACTGTTTGATCCAGCTTCGAAACGCTAACAATCTAGGGAGCAGGAGAGTTGTATCTTAAAATAAATGTATCTCCTCTATATTGGGAGCTGGAGGACACAACTCTTCAGAATAGATTCCTGTGTCGATGACTTCCATCCTAACATTATCAATCTTCTACATGCCATACGAATTTGCTGTTACAGAAGGATGTGCTACTGGGTTTGAAGAGGATGAGTGATAGAGGAAACGTAGTGTGCATAATAAACAGATATACATACATATACACAAACACATAAATGCTGTAACACAATGCAATATACATATGTTTGGGACCGAGCATCTACACCAGTTCAATACATTTTTAGTGACATATTAAACTACAGGTTTTGGTCTTGAATGTTAAAAAGGAACAAATCAATTTTTCTCTACCAGACTTTTGTTTTGTAGATGAATTATTTATTGTTCAATTCATTTTCATTTGCTTGTGAAAGCAATGTAACCATAAAAATAACATTCTGGGTGGAATTGCCTTTGAGATAGCTCAATAGTTAAGGTTCCGGGTGCAGTACATCAGAATCACGTTTTTTATTCTTGACAAGGTCAGCTTGACCTTTCATCCTCAGGAATCAGTAAATGAGCATATTAAGTTGGGTAATAATAACATGAGATCCAGGGTATGCGTAAAAACAAGCAAAAGCTAAACATACCCTTCCTAGTTATATGCTTTGATTTCATTACAACACCCCAGAATTATACCTACAAAGGATTTTCTTCACTAAACTTGGACTTGTGAAAAATTAACAAAGGAATAACAGTTTGGGTCAAGCCAGATGAATTTAAAATAATTCTTAAAATTACCTACTTTTTCAGCTTTGGATCTCAACCTACTGCAGTAAAAATTTCAGTTTGGTCATTTAAAAAGCACTGTCATCAATACAGGCATTCAATGTTTCTATGTACAAAACAGTTATACAAAGTTATTCACCAACTCCAAAGTTTAGAGAATAAAAATCCAAAAGGCAAAATGTTGCACTCCCCACACTATTGTAACAGTAACTATTGTATTGAAGAAATTTTGCCTTTCATAGTACGGTTCGCTCACTACAGATCATAGTTTAGTCAGTGAGTAAGCCTGTTTATATTTACAAAGTGTAGAGTAGACTGTATTAAGCCATGCAATGCATAATACCAGGATGTAAATCTGAAAAAAAAAACACTGAAATTTTGAATAATGCTACTAAATATTTTTGGGTTAAAACGTACAATCTATGCAGTACATTTTCTTGATTTAACTTTAGATTTTCAACTTTATATCTAGTGTGTGTATATTTAGGTAGCCACACAACTAAGTTGCTGAACAACCCATTTTTTTTTGTCCAAAGTATTATATTTTATTAGGTGGCCAAGCAACAAAGTTGTTAGGCAACATATTGTTTTTGTTCAGATTATTATTACTCATAGTACAGTTTCTTCAAATGGCTATAAAACCCAAACAACTGTATTAAACATTCTTGAAACTCAGTGCAGTGGTAGAGACCTAGTGTGCTACGTCTTTTGCAACAAAAGGAAGTAGGTCACAGTCTGGCAGCCATATTGATTTTGGTGACCGACCACATAATACTCAAACATCCCCTTCTAAACCACCCCATTATGCTACAAATTTATTTGTGAGGTTAGGAGTTACCTATATCCAGATTTGTTCAAGAGAAGAGAAATGATCACAGGGTTTGGGGGACATATTGGATCATGCAAAGTTCTTCAAATATCTTCTCAGAAATGTTGGCACAACACGTTCTACACAATTTCAAAACAAAGATAGCCTCCATGCGCTAATTACCTTCTAGGTGTCCTGGAATTGTGTAAATGTATTTATCTATTAAATTATGTTAAAAATTGTTAACTATATAAGTACTTAATAGCAAAAGTGTTATAAATAATATAGGAATCAAAGGTCAACAGCCATTTTGAATTTTACATCATTCTAATTTACCTCTCTGTGTTCAATAATTATGCATGTGCTTTAGCCATAAACTTATGCTTGGTCACCTCTGTTGGGCAAACAGTAAAGTGGTTTGACAGCCATGTTAAAATTGTCATCAGTAGAGCATAAGTGCCAAAGGTAATTTGGAGGTCAACCATAACAAATGTCAGAAGCCATTTTGGATTTGACATCTATTTAGTTAACTATTCTACATGCGATATCTATGCATGTGTTGTATGCATGCTGTTATGCATGGCCACCTATTTTTATTAATCACTTGTGTGGTTTGGCAGCCATTTCGAATTTGTCACAATTCCTTAAATGTATTATTCAGAGAAACGCCAAATCAAAGCTGCTTGTAAAAAACAAACAAAAAAAAACTTCTTTGAAATTGTAGACATAATAGATTTATATAGCTCCCTTTGCCATCTTCAATATGCAGCCCATTTGTCATGCAGTATGGTAGACATATTGGATTACATGACCTGTTCTGAAATATCTATAAACGCATTTATAAAATGCAAATCTTTTTTATTTACTTCTCTGCCTGCAATAGCTCCTTATATGATACATATCAAGTCTCTTACGCTTGGTCACCTCCATTACTGTTTGCAACTGTGTTCATTCTTATTTGTGTCTGGAACCACAGTTTATTGTATGTGCACATTGTACGGGCCTGTTTACAAGTCTGATACAGCTCATTATGCAGACAGTGGAGTTCAGGTATCTGATAACACAGAAAAGATTTAGAAAGTGCAGTGAGAGATGACTAGAATGCACAAATTATAGTACATAGAATTGTGTGGTTAATATAGAAACTCCATTAGAATGCTCTGATTAAAAAGCACAAGAAATAGAGGGTAAGGTAATGTATATGATTAGCGCTTTCAATTTCACTCAAGGGATTTAGTCTCATTAATCAGTCCCAACCCTATGAGAATCTGGATAATTATTCAATTAACAATTAATGGTGTTTCTGATCAATGCAATACAAGTTGATAAGCATGCAAATTACTATTAGCTGCTTGTACCAGATCATTAGAATTTTATTTATAGTGTGTGACTCTGAGATCCATTGGATTAAAAATGTTTTAAATTGTAGGAAATCTCAGAAAATATAGAATTTTTTTTTTTTAGGGTCTCATAGCTTGTGTCTCTTCAAATATAATAATGTAAGCCATATAATGGCAAAAAAAAAATAGGAATTGCTTTCATTTGGGTGTCTTGAAATGTTGAGCTTAATTATGCTTTTGCCAAACTATGCAAATAAAACCTCCATTCAAAAATGAACAAATTAAAAGAGGATACTGGGTGTCATATTTAGGACACAATACACTAATCAAATCACTATTTCATCAGGTGTTATTGCCTATTAGTTATTTATAATGGGTATATATTGGGTGTTTGTACTTTCCTGCACTTCATTTTTAGCATAATTACAAAGATATTTCAAATTAATATGTTTACACTAGTGATCGCTTAGCATTTTTATTTCTAATAAGAAGACAACAAAAAGGATCTGTCCTGATGTGAGTGTGCAGGGTTATTTCCTAAGATGTCACTTCTCCACTAAAGGTGTTTGACAAGCAGAAGAAAAGAACATGGGGGAAACCCGACACTATGATAAAATGTTTAGCCTCTTAGCAAGCAGTGACTTTGTCAATGTATGTCCTAAAACCACAATAGAGAGGAGTATTTGCCTGGAAATACACTTGAATGGTCTGAAATGCCCTCCAGTTACAACATGCAGCCATAAAAATATTTGTTAATGCAATTCCATTGTATTTTGGGGGAAATTCTCATGTTGTCCCACAAATTAGACACCAGAGAATAAAACCAAAATGGTAGAACGGGGGCGGGACCACCATGATGACTGGCCGCATGTAGGCTTGGCTCCTTAGGTTTTTTACATTTATCGACATTTGCACTGACTATTACATTCACTCTGTACTGGAAACCTAGGGCTATTTGAGCAAGTGTTTACATGTGCTGTTGGTGCACCCTGGAATTGAATTGAAGCCCTTGTGGGCAAATCAAGGTCTCTAAGGTTGCGGCCTATTCGGGCGTAGAGTGGATTAGACGGCTGCCGCTTAGCTCTCTTGCCCATCTGCACAGTATCCCCCCGACAATGGTACACTGCTGGTCATGTTTCCTCCCACCCTTGGACCAGTGGCAGTCCCAACAGGAGGGATCAGAAGCTGCATCGCTGGTGACAATAGCAGATCCTGCTTTTGGTGTTCTGGCAATTCTACTATGGCTGCCACACAGGCCCTTTCAATACCAACAACAGTGTTAAGCTTGGAGAAGGTTTCCTTCATGAAGGCATTTGTTGACTTATGCTCCAAATTCTGGATCACCACTATTCTTGCATTTCCCCAGCACAAGGAAGAGGGCATCCGGCTGCTTACGAACTTATTCTCAATACTCAGGACTGGTCTTTGTAGCCACTTACCTAGGTCTTGGGCCTTGAGAAGTAGACCTCATTCCTATCCTAAGCCCTGGATGGTTGCCTGCCGATGCTGGAGGCACAAAGAAGTCCCAGGTACACCGATTTTGGCTCAATACAGGGCCAGATCTTTGGGCGTTGGATGCATTCTCGTGTAGATCACTGGGGCTGGTGGAGTGCTGTTGGCTGGACTTATGTGCCAGGACTCTGTCTTCATTACAACCGGACATGCCAGAGGTTGGAGTAGGCTGAAGGACCATCTTACTGGGCCAGATCCCATCCTAGTCTTCTAATGCCCTTAATTCATAAAATTCATAAAATTAGTCTTCTAGCAACTTATTGTTTTGCACCCTGTGGGTCTCCAGTGCCCTTTCTTTTTATATCTCTCTATTTGTTTTCTTTCTCACTTTCTTTTAGTGTTAGGCATTGTTTAAGCAGCTGTACTAGTCATAATCATATTTTATTGCTTGATACTTGCATTTTCTCCTGTCAAATTAGCATAGTACTTAGTCGTTTTACTAGTTAGGTTCAGCCTAATGTTAATATTCCATTTACCAACCAGTTGTTGTGCAGTGACCATTTAACAATTTGCCACCAGGCTACTAACACACAAGTGTCACTAACCCAGCTCATCCCCTTGTTTTTCTAGGATTCCCTAGCATTGTAGGGCAAGGGTATTAGTTATTTCTAATTAATATTACTCATGTTCTGGCATGCTGGTACTACCTGTGCTAACCTGGTGTTAATACACCAAGTGATTTGTGATGTTTCCTCATCCTCTTCTAGCTTTAACATTGATCAGCTATCTACACCTACTGCCTCAATTTAAAATCCTCAGTTCACTAACCTTTGTTTATTCCTTTTCACATACACACTAACATACTTGTTTTCTGCTGTTGATATCGTTTGCATTTATTAATATGTATTGTATAATGTGGTATATTATGTCAGTGAACTGTGCAAAAATAAAGAGTTACAAAATGTTAGAACATGGGTTCCAAAAACAAACTGTCCTGATGGATCCATGATTTTCGGAGAGGTCCAGTAACCTTGGAAAAGGGGTTCCTAGGTTTTCTCACTCTAAAATTTCCTTTCCATGTTGTCCATTGTAACTGGACTCTGTCAGAACCATGACAAGCTCTTCAGTATTCAGCATTGTAAAATAAAACCTCTGATACTTTTCTCTTCTGCCATTGGATCAGAGACTCTAAGTGCATTCCAACTTTATCTCCCATATATATTCCCACAATCACAAACCCTCTCATTTGTTCTCCCATCATTTCCTCCCCAAACGTGTCCCTGATAATTTGACTTCCTTCCCCATGCAAACTCATCTCTTCTTTTTATATCACGTCCTTACAGATTTTGAAGGATCACTATAGGGTCAAGAAAACAAACATGTATTCCTGACCCTGTAGTGTTTAACCCACCATTTAGGTGGCTTGCCCCTCCTTATTTCCCCTACAAAAAAGCCCGCCTCCAAACACCGTGGTAGATGTCTTGTTACCCTTGTGTCACATGGGCCCCAAAAGTTGGCCCTAGTCAAACCTCCCCTGGCTGTGATTGACAGTGTGCCTGAAAACAAATTGGTTTCAATTTTAATCAGATGTAACTTACTTTAAATGTTTTTACCTCCTGGTCTGTAAAACTTTAATCACACACAGGAAGATCCTGCACGGTCTAGCTGTATAAACAAAGTGATTTAACGCCTAAATATCAGAGAACTGAGCAGTGAGACTACAGGGTCATGGTCTATACACCAAAACTGCTTCATTAAGCTAAAGCTGTTTTGGTGACTATAGTGACAAACAAATACATTTGTGAGTGTATGAGAAAATGTATGTGTGTGTCTGTCAGGGAACGTGTGTGTCTGTCAGTGTGTGTCTGTCAATGAATGTATGTGTTTCTGTCATTGAATATGTCTGTCAGTTAGTGTGTGTGTGTGTGTGTGACTGTCAGTTAATGTGCCTGTGTCTGTCAATGAATGTGTCTTTGTCCATTAGTGGATGTGTTTGTGTTTGTGAGTGAATATGTGTGTGAAATCTGAGGATGTATGTGTCTGTGAGTGTGTATCAAATCAGTGAGTGTGTGTGTGTGTATGTCAGTATCTGTCTGTCTGCCAGTGAGTGTATGTCAGTGTATGTACATCTGAGAGTGTGTCTGTCAGTGAAAGTGTGTGTTTGTTAAACAGTGTGTGTGCCAGTGACTGTGTATCTGTCAGTGAGTGTATGTCAGTGCATGTATCAGTGAGGGTGTGTGTCTGTCAGTCAAAGTTGGTCTAAAGCAGGAAGAGGTGTGACCATGACAGAAAAAGGTGAGGAAAAGTTAGATAAGGGGGTGCCCAAGTTTAGTCATGCCTAGGGCAGCACAAAAATAAAATACACCACTAGGTAAAACTGTTTGTGAACTGTTTAACCCCTTAAAGGGTTACTTTGGAGCTGGGGCACTTTTTCTGTGTAAAGTGCCTTATTGGGTGCTATGGATGGGTCACCCCCCAACCCCCATTCCAATTACAATAAAATCTGAAATAAAAGTTGTTGTTTTTTTTACTTACCTTGTATTCAGTGCGAACAAAGCTCCCATTGCTGACTTCAGCTCTACTTCCTGACCTCAGTGGTGCCGTGCACGGTCCAATCACAGGCTCCTCACGCATGCGCTCCGGGTCAGAAAGGAGAGGGAAGGAATGGGGAGAGAAGGTCTTTTTCAAAAACAAAAAAAGGGGAGAGCACCCACAGGGAGGGAGGGTGGGAGGGGAAAGCTACCTTCAGTTTGCAGGTGCTCTACCTGAAAGGGGAAGATTTTATTGTCTGTTGTCAGCGTGGAGAGTTCTGGGCTGCCAATGTCACGTGTGCTGGGTGTGTACCTAGCCCCCCCAGCTTACAATTACTAATATCTCTGTATGAGCAGTGTTTCAAGCAGCAACGCTGAACATCCATACTTCTACCACCATGACCACTTTAAATCTGTCATGGTGCTTGGTGTAATCCTTTACGGTAAGATGGTACCCAGGACCTTCAGGCATCATAACATATGATGGAGTATTCCTTTAACACGCAGACATTTAAATGGAATAGAAAACAGAATAAAAAGGGGGGAGAAGAGAAATTGCTCAAAATCACCAAGTGTGTGTCACTCCAAATCACACAAAATAAAACCAACAGAATATAATAAACAGTATGGTGAGCAAAATATGGGAAAAATAAGCCAAATGTGGATAATATATAAAACATGCAATATTACCATGTATCTGTATGTGTCCTAGAAATATAAAACACAAAACATAGTATAGCCTGTATATAGAAATAAAATAAATGGAGAAGAAAAAGTTTCACTCACATATTGCTGAGCCTTTAGAAAGTGGCTCAGACTATAAGCGCCTTGATAAGTAAATAGAAGACCAAAAGCTGGAATTACAATTTAAGAAGTTCACTGTAGATCTTCTACTTTGCTCCTGGATGATTTTCACAAACGCCAAACAAAGGTGTAGATACAGGAACAAAAATCTTTATTTATACAATACAGCATAAAAACTGGATCTCCAGTGAAGGATAAACTGCACAATGCGTTTCGACCGACTGTCTTTTTCAAAGTGCTAAATCTAATAATAACTTGTTAAGTTTTAATATCCAAAAAGGGCGCGTTTTCTATCTTCATTTTGATCTCCTATTTACTTATCAAGGCGCTTATAGTCTGAGCCACTTTCTAAAGGCTCAGCAATATGTGAGTGAGATTTTTTTCTTCTCCATTTATTTTATTTCTATATACAGGCTACATTTAAATGGAATGCAGACTATTTCATGTGTGTATAAAACCCCTAATTTAATACTAATGAAAACATAGCTTTTTTTTATTTACATCAGCCTTCTGAATATTATTTTACACTAAATGGAAGATGACTACCTCACTAACAGTTTGCAATATGTTATCCAGTCTGCACTGCTTACATTACACGGGCTGTTAGATACCAAGCAACAAATTACAAAGGTAGCTGAATAATTGTCTTCAACGCCTAGTTTGATTTTAATATACCTAGCAGAGCGCAAAGCAACAATACTTCCACAAGCCAAAAATATCACCCTTTCAATTATATATAAACATATAATGTCATAAATCAAAGAATAACATAGTGTAACACTGCCAGATAATACTAATTTTAACTTAAAACAGAGATATGTGACATCTTAAAGGGGCACTTCAGACACCAAAACAACTTCATCTAAATAAAATTGTTATGGTGCCAGGAGTCCCCTGGGCTTACTCTTACCTCAATGGGTTAAACTGTTTGCTAAACATGGATATATATATTTTTTATATTAGCCAATTGTATTAGATTTAATCGTTAATCACAATCACAGCGTTAAATGCTATATAAATGATAGCATTGAATATCTGGCCTGCCATTGTGAAAGTCTCTTACTGAAACGAAACGTGCACAGAGGTTTCAGAAAAGGCTGAAGTGGATACAGGACTCAAAGCTCTGGTTTTTACAGACCGCATCAGCGGAAATTTAATTAAATTGACCTTTAATACAAGGTTCCACATAGATTTCACACATGTAGAGTGTCTATTTTATGCCCAGTACAAGCAAGTCTAGGTCACAAGGCAAGTTTCTTATACAAGGACTTTGGCATTCTTAGGAGCTGGAAAAAGAGCCTGCACATATATATTGAGTTTTCTTACCTTTTTTTTTTTTTAAAAGGTAGTGAGTTTCCAATCTGATAAACAGCAGCTTATTCATAATTTGTATTTTTTAAATGTCCTAATAGACTTGCTGACATGTGGAGTACTGCCCGAATAAAATAAAATAACTTTCAGTACATATACCCAAATGAGAACTTGCATGCATTTAATAATACTTTTTGTCATTGTGGGTATATCTAAAAACAGCTTGCAAAACCTGCAAATCTCTTGTCTGATGCCTTTGCAAACCCTGCCCTATTAACCCCACCCAGACTTTCTGCGACTGTCCAATCACAGACTTCCCAATACAACACAATGAGAAGTCTTTGCAAGGCAGGTGCTCATGGCAATTGCTGCCTCTTTAGTTCAGCTCCACTGAGCTAAACTACCAGATTGTAGCCCGTGGTGCAGCGCAGCTAAGGGGAATGGGCCTTGACATTGCTAGGAGACAGGCATAGAACAGGGGAATGTATGGATTGGCTATCTTTATATTGGGGGTGGGGTTTTGGGTAAGGTAGTATATATAGGGGTCATTTTAGATTTAGATTTATCTTACTTAACTTCACTGTTGTTGTGGCAGGTCCGTGTTTTTGTCTTTCATGTGCATCTTGCTGTTTGAAGATGGAGGAGCTGATGGCTGGAGTCTGGAATGCTGTGCTGGAAAGGGGAGTGGAGTGGAGTGGCTTCAGGGATGTCTGGGAGATGCTCTGCACCCGTCCGGGCCTTCCTCTTTCTCCCAGGGAACAGGGAGCTACCGAACGTTCAGGATGCGAACAGGGATGCAGGATTTCTCCCAAACGGGTTGTAGATACTTCAGACCGTTCGGCCTGCAAACCAAGGACTGCTGGTGGTGCCTCTGGTTCGGTTCCCATGGTGGGCAAGTCGGTTACCAGGTGGTTTCCTTAGCAGTGGACTCTGCGGTTGGCCTGAACTACGCTGGGAGTGGTGCCAGGACCTGATCGATGGTGAAGGTGCAGTTTTAGCTATGGGTGAGTCGGCCACCAACACGGTGGGTCACCTGCTTACTGGCACTGGGGCGGTAAGGACCACAGGGGGAGGGGGTAGGCAAGGACCACAGGGGGAGGGGGGAGGTAAGGACCACCAGGGAAGGGGAGTATGGACCACAAGGGGAGGGGGTATGGACCACAAGGGGAGGGAGAGTAGGACCACAAGGGGAGGGGGAGGTAGGGGCCACCATGGGAGGGTGTGGGACCACCAGGGAATGGGGGTATGGACCTGGGGGAGGGAGGGTAGGTAAGGACAACATGGGGGGCGGGGGAGGTGGGACTGCCAGGGAGGGTAAAGGCCAGGGAGGGGTAGGACCGCGAGGGGGAGGTGGGACCACCAGGGGAGGTAGGACCACCTGGGGGAGGGTAAGGACAGGAGGGGGCGTAAGGACTACTGGGGGAGGAGGGGGGAGTAAGGACCACTGGGGGAGGAGGGGGGAGTAAGGACAACTGGGGAAGGAAGAACCACTGGGGGAGGATGGGGGGGGAGTAAGAACCACTGG